ACTCAATCTCTTGTCTTTCCCTTGTCCATACCCTTGGAAACTGCTTTGGTTTAAGCCCTTATCATTTACCTTCTCAATCACTGAAGAAACTTCATCTAGTCTTCCAATTCCAGTTTTGCCCATTTTAATCTGTCCTTACTACTGTTACCAGAGTGTTTTTTCCAGAATTAAATATGATCACTGTCCTGCTCACCACCATCCAATTTTCTCCATCATTATCAAGACGAAGTCCAGATTCTCTCCGCATGGCCCTTTCTGGTTTAGATCCTCTTAAGTTCTCCACTTTCACCACCCCTTCAAAATATGCTTCATCATGGAAATTGTAGTAAACCATCATACTTGTTTAAATGAATCAGTTCTCCCCCTACCCTTGCCAGTTTCTTGTCTATGTTGTTCTCCATTCCAACAATACATTTCCCTCCGTGATTTGCTTGAAGGGTTTATACTCATCCTTTAGGAGTTAGTTGATGTTTCATCTCCTTTGGGAAAGCTGTGGCTAGATTTCTCTCCTCTGTACTTCTTTTGTACCTCCATACATATCCTATCATTTAATAGTACACAGCATAATGGTCAATTGGCTTTTTTATCAGCCCCTGCCATCATTAGGTGGACTAGCTCAAGAACAAGGAATTTGTAAGTGATCTGTGCCCCTAATTCATTTTTATTGAATAAGTGGGAAAAATAACATCACCCTTTTTATTCCAAAATAAAGCCAAACTATTGACTCATTTCAAAGTGTACAATTGTTATTTGTATTTTTAAGGCAATTAGGAAATCCTGCAAAGTCATAACTCCAAGCAGCTGTGTAGGATGGTATTATGTGAAATATGGACTTAATACACATTTATCATGATTTATGATGAATTGTATCTCAACTCTCTAATTAAAGTCCACAAAATAAAAATGGACATTTTTTGAGAACAAGAACATTGTTCTACTGTTATGAAAAATGTACATTTCCTATTATAAGGCAAAAGCATTTCAAAAGCACAAATGAAATAGGGCTTTAAAAATAATTCCAACTGATTAAATTTAGTCAAAATAAAAGCACATTCTGTGTCCATTACCTCTTCATTTGATTTTGATTTGATTAAACTTTTATTAACCCTAAGCCCTTGCCTTTCTTTATTATCTCTTTTTGAGACTGTTTAGAAAGTATCAATAGGAATATTAGGCTTGGTAATGCCCTTCTCCCTATGTAAGTGATGTGTTTTGGCTGAGTCTCTGAAGATACGCTTATTGACAGATTTTTTAATGATTAACTATGAACTAACACAAACTGACCACTTTCATACAAAGCCCAATAATCTCAGCAAAGCCATACTTAGAGCCATTATAAGTCTATTTGATCATAAACACATTTTGTTAAGGATGTATATTATTGTCCCTAGAGTAACCCTTAAACAGTACTATAAAAAGTATAGCTAAGAGTGGAAGAGGAGAAATAAAATAGAATACAAACAAATTTAACTGAAAAGGCAGTAAAACAGCAACAGATAAAACAAAAGGGACTAATGGAAAACAAAGAGACAAAGGGCATACTAAACCCAACCACAAAAAAAAAAAATTATACTAAATGTAAATGGCCTAAATACTCCAGTTTATAGGCAAAGATGGCAGACTGAGTCAATAATCAAATTCAGCTGCACACTGTCTACAGGAGATGCACTTTAATATTAACACAGATAATTCAGAAGTAAAAACTACGAAAAAAGATATATCATGTTAACGGTAAGCTTAAAAAAACTGTTATTGCTACATTAATATCTAAGTAAGTAGTATAAGAAACACTATAAAGGATTATGTGGGTCATTTCATAATAAATTAGATAATCAGGAAAAGATTAAAATGACTTTAAAATTCATGAAATAAAATCCAACATAACTAAAGGGAGAAATGCATACTTTATAATCAGAGTCATATATATTATTGATTAAGGAAAATTGGAACAGCATTATCAACCTAATTGCATTCATTTAACACTATCTAAAACAAATGCAGATTATACAAATTCCTATTGCACTTGGAATGTTCACCAGGACAAACCATATAAGGCATAAAATAAGTCAATAAATTTCAAAAGATGAAAATTGTATATGTTTTATCTGATGTAAATGGAATTGAATTAGAAATTAATAACATATAGAACTCCCCTGAATATTTGTAAATTAGATACTTCACCTCTATATAACTAATAATTTAAAAGGAAATAATGGGAAGTTATCGTAGATTTCAAGCTAATGATGATAAAAACTCCGCATCTCAGAACGTGAGGAACACAATGTTCAGAAAGAAATGCATAGATTTAAATAGTTCTATTTTAAAAAAGAAAAGATATGCAAATAATGACCTAATAAGTTTCAGTCTTAAACTAGAAAAATTAAGCCCAAAGTTAGAATAAAAAATAATTTGAGCAAAAATTAAACAGAAAATAAACATTAAGAAAATAAAATAAAATACTGGTTCTTTAACATAATTAATAAAATGAACACTTTGCAAACATATTAATGTCCTAGGGCTACTGTAAAAAATTACCACAAACCAAGTGGCTTTAAACAAAAACTTATTCTCACAGTTCCAGAGGTCAGAAGTTCAAAGCCTAGATGTAAATGAGATTGGTTCCTTCTGAATGTTCTGAGGAAACATTCATTTCATGCCTCCTAATGTCTGATGACTACTGGCAAGCTTTGGCACCCCTTGCCTACTGACTGCTCTCCAATCTCTCCCTCCATCTACACGTGGCTTTTTCCTCTATGTTTTCTCCTTTTCTTTCTCTTACTAGGTCACTAACGTTGAATTTAGGGCCCACCCAAATACAAAATGATCTCATTTTGAGACCCTTGCCTTCATCTGGAAAGATCTTTATTACAAATAAAGTCACATTCTTAGGTTCTAGGTGGACACAATTTGGAGGGGGTTGGGGGACACTAGTCAACTTACTATATAAGGCCAATCAAGTAAAACATATGAGTAAAAAAATAAATTAAAATATTAGGAATAAAAGTTAGCTTTTTATTCTAGAAACTAGATATTAAGAGGACAATATAGGAATTTTATGAACAAATGGATGCCAATAAATAATCCATTCCTAAAAAATGCAAAAGTGGACTGAAGAAAAATAGAAAATAAAAATAACCATATATTATTGCTAAAGTATTAATATAATCAAGTATATAGTAACATACTAAATTGAATTAATCATAAAAAGCTTCTCTTAAAGGAAAGTACAGATCCACATGGTTTCTGTGGTGAATCCCATCAAACCTTTAAGGAAGAAACAACATCAATCCTTCACACATGCCTTTAAAATAAAGAGGTATAAGGATGACTTTTTCATTTTATGAGGCTCTGTTACTGAAAATTGGCAAAGACATTATCAAGAGAAAATCAGACCAATAAATAAATGAATCCTCAAAATATAAGCAAATTCAATTCAGCAAAACTAGGAAGGATCCCATTTTAAGATAATGTAGGCTTTATACAAAGAAAGCAGATACAAAGAAAATAAAAGTGAAAATTGATAAAAGTCAACACCCATTCAAGACAAAAACTCAGAAAATTAGGAATAGGATAAAACTGTCTCAACCTGATAAAGGTATCTATGAAAACTTGCAGCTGATAATATATTTAATGGTGAAAAACTTAGTACTTTCCCCATATGACTGGGAACAAGGCAAGGACATATATGCCCACTACATCTTTTCAGTATGTTACTAGAGGTCCTAAAAAGTACATTAGGCAAGAAAAGTAATTAAAAGGTGTATACAAAAGCATATATATTGGGGGGAATAATCTGCATATATAGAAAGATGTATATATTTTATATATATATATATTATATACATATATATATATATACACAATTCTAAGGAATCTACAATAAAAAGAAAAAACTACTAGAACTATCAGTGACTTTATCAAGGCTACAAGACACAATGTAAATCTAATGTAAAGCCAAAGAATTGTATCTCTTTATGTGGTAGTAACAAGTAATTAGAGAAGGAAATAAAAATACTATTTCAAACAGTATTTTAAAATATTCAAATAAATTTAACAGAATATATGTAAGACCTCTGGACTAAAAACTATAAACATAGCTGAGAAAAATTAAAGACCTATATAAATGGAAAATTTTGTCATGTTCATTGATTGAAACACTCACTATGGCTAAGATGTTCATTTTCTCCAAATTGATCCATAAAGCCAATTCCATCCCAATCATAATTCTAGCAGGCTTTTTTAAGAATCGACCAGGTGACTCTAAACTCTACATGAAAATGCAGCTATTTAAAATAGCCAGATTCTTTCAATAAGTAGAAGGCAAACAACCCTATTTAATTAAAAAAAAAGAAGAAAAGCAAACCCTTGGATAACATTTCACAAAATACATATAATTGGCTTAAAAACCTGCTCAACAGCATTAGCCATCAGAGAAATGCAAATTAAAACTATAGTGAGATACCACCTCATCTGGACTACAATCACTAGAATGGCTAAAACCTGAAAGACCTATAATATCAAGAGTAAACGAGGATGAGGACCAACTGGAATAGTCAAAGTGTAAAATGCCTCAACCACTTCAGAAAACTCTTGGCATAGTTTTATGATGTTAAACATATCTACCATTTGACCCAGCAAACCTACTCCAAAACATTTACACAATGAAAGGAAAAGAAATAGCCACATAAACCATTGTACCTGAAGGATCATAGCGTTATCCGTAACAGCCAAGAACTGGAAGCAAATGAAATGCCCATGAACAAGTGAATACGTGAACAAAATGTTACTGAATAGTATTCCATTGTATGGATATACCACAACTACAACAAAAGCACAGCCATGCAAGTAACATGAAACATTAAAAAAAAAAAATGACCTTAAGCAAAAAAAGCCAGGCACAAAAATGTGCAGATTGCATGTTTTCATATAAAGTTTTGGAACTTACAAAAGTAACCTATAACGATAAAAATCAGGTCATTAATCTTCTGTCTGCCTGAGACAGAAGATAGTATGTGAACTAACCACAAAGGTGCACAAGGGAAGTTTCCAAGGCAATATAACTGTAAATGTAAATCTTTATTGATGCTTCAATTATGCAGTGCACACATTTATCAAAACACAAATTTCACACTTAAAATTGTTTTTTGTAAATTACTTCCATAGAGTTGATCAAAATATGTTACAATGATCAAACGCTCTTTAGGACAGATTTTACTGAGGTTGTGTAATCACCTCTTACTCACCCCTTGAAACCCAGAGGAAAGGTGGAAGTAAAATTCCCAGTTGAAAGAAGTAACCAAGAAACAGAGAAAACGACCATGGGTGAGTTTGATGGAAGAAAATGTAAAAACAAAGAAAGAAACAACGTGGCTGAATAAATGAATTAAAGAATGGGGAAAGCTTTGGGGGCATGTAGGGCATGAACCCCTGAGCCACAAAATCTGTAGCCCTGGTGTCAATAATGAGAGGGGTCTAGGGTGGCTGGTGAATGTAATTTTCAAATAAATTTAGGTAGTTAAATGTCAAATCCTTGTACCTACTCACAAGAGGATCTCTGATTTAGCTACTTTCCTTCCTTTTTAAACTCAAATGTTTGACATCTGTTTATCCTATGCATCCTGAAAATACACTGTTAATAAAAAATGAATGACATTTCACTACCTTAAAGTAGCTCATGTTCCAGTGGGGATAATTAAAACACAACAAGAGCAAAGACAGATATGCACATGACGTTTGCATATGCATGTGTTTTATGCACTGTAGAAAGGCATCTTACTTAATATGGAGAACACAAAGGTTTCCCAGATAAGTCAGAGAAAGAATGTTAGGAAAAAAAGATAGAGCGTTCCAGCTGTAAAATTAGCATAAAGTAAAGCACAGGATCACTGAACTACAGAACACCAGATTTGGGATATACACAGATTATAACGAGGAGATTACAACAGACCAGATTTTGGAGGGCTTCCAATATTACATCAAGCACCTAGCATAGCTGTTTTTGTTTTTTTCCTGTTTGCTTTTTGACAGATCCTGTACAACTAGGGTGATCATTCAGCCAGGTTTTCCTGGCACAATAATGATTTATAATTATCATCTAGTGTTAAATATTAATAGTAGTCCCTTCACTTGCAAAATTGTCACATTTTAGATAGAGGTGAGTGTCTTTTAAATAACTTTAAATAGAGTATTATCAGGGCTAAATTTCTATTTCAGGTACAATATTCTAAGTTGTGGTGTGAAGGATGCATTTGAGAAAATAGGACACTAGAAGTCCATTAATGAACATGATACAATAGTCCAGTAAAGAGAGGGCAAGACACTACACTATGCAGTGGAAATGCAGTTTGTGAGAAAGGAGCCACTTTAGGAGATATTTAGGACATAAGGTAGAATAACTGTGTAAAATAATAGAAGGAAGAATCAGTAAACATGCTTAGATAAATATTTGCAGCGAGACTAAAGGAAACATAGGGGAAGTCAGAGAGGGAAGAGAGAAAAAAGAAAATTTAGAGCAAAAACAAGCAGAGCAGTTACATTTAGGGAGAGTGCGCAAAAGCATTGAAGGCAAGGCAGGTATAACATCACAGAGGATGGAAAGAGGCAGAAAGTTTAGAAAACTGAGCAAAGCATGGCTGAGTTTTGATGTAAGAAAGGGCAGGGTAAACTAAGGAATGGTAGACAATGACCCATATCCTGAAAGTTTCCATGGACCACTTATTGGAGCTCAACTTCTCCTGGGGCAAATGGGGAATCAGCAGAAATTTATAATTTAGGCAATAAAATTATCAGATTAGTATTTTACATTCCCGACAGTTCCTTGGCATAATGAAGTCAGTACTTTGGAGAAAAGTACTCAAGACGACTGTTGGAGGAGAAGCCTGTCTCCTAATACCATTTTATCAAGGATGTTTTTGATCTAAAGAACAGATCTGGTCCTTTTGAAGTGTGATGTGTAATTTTATATCTCATCACATAAACACAATCTAACTGCCGAATCAACACCCAAGAAATTCAGTTCTTAAGACCTTAAAGTCAAAAGCTGGGGAACATCAAGATTTTCAGGTCTTAAAAAATAAGAGTAGTAAAGTGTTCAAAGAAATAGGTTCAAATATATGTTTGCATTGGATCCTGACCAATTTGGGAACGTGGGGAGATACGGGAAGATCCTGTGACACAAAGATTTTGTCCCAGGTGAAAACTGTCAGTTGTCTTTTTACCCAGAAGGTGTCAATACGGCCAAGAACAGAGCATGGTGAGGAAGACATGCTAGTGAATAGCCAACCCCCTTCTTCCTAAGAAAGAGCTAGATAATTCCAACGAGTTTATCATTCCTAACTTGAAAATGTGATTTTACTTTACTGGTTACATCAGAATCTATATTATCAAAGTACATCCCAACCTTTTACAGAGGTAGGTGGCCAAATCAGACAGGAAACTCTTATAAACAACAAAAGGGATATATTTGTTGTTTTAGAAGATAAGAGCTTTCTGCCTTTGGTTTTCTCATTACACATCTACCCAGTTCAGCAGCTACCATAAACACTGTACAAATAATGTTCACATGGGCTGGCAGGCATGCATTTGGTCTTCAGAGAACAGAATAACCAGGAATGTCCCAACCAGTTTGCTCTCCTCTGACATTTAATAATTTGAATATTCCATCATCCAAAGCAAACTTTTATTGCATCATTTGTGGTTGCAGGAAGTCTGGAAGGCGTTGTGCATTCTCCTACATAGAGTCAGGGAGAAAAAGGATTTAGAATTTTCTTTCTTCTTAAAACAGAGAACACAGATAACCTAAAAGCAAGAATGAACTTAATATTTAGAATCCTAATAGGGAATATGAAGTGATTTTTTTAAAGAAAAATAAGAATGTTAAGCTATTGGATTTACTGTGCAAGGTCACATACCAGTCACTGGCAAAGCAGATACACGTTATTTTTGCCTTTCCACATTCAATCCAATTTTAAGACAGATTGAAACTGAGTCAAGTCACATTCAGCATTTCAAGGAATAAGGCTTCCATCATGTCCCAGGAAAGGTAATTTCAGCCTAATAGATTTCATTAGACTGTGAATTTCAGGTTGAAGGCATTTCTAAAAGCACTGCTATGGACTCTAATACAACACGGTTAAAAATGTCCCTTGGTAACCTGTCCTTACTTAGTGCGGTCTCGTTATTTCTAGTGATTCTCCTTTGTCCAACCCTAAAGTACTGTGCTCTTGCTTGATGTTTACAGCCTTGCAATGACTTGAATTTGTTTAGTAAAATCTACAGGAGGATAAGACCTTTCTTACTACGTTAGCATATATAACCTCTGGGGAATGTCTGCTTTCATGTAATTATGCACAGATTTCATATTTATACAAATATTTTGTGTCTGCAGGGGGTGTAAAATGGATCTCCCTCATGAATATTCAACACTGCCGTTTCTTCTAGTAAGACACAAACATCTTTCTTTGTGGATACTAAACACTCAGCTGTCTATCTATTTCCCCCTTCATGCTTTGTTTGCATAAACCTGGTGAGATCCAGGGACTGTCAAAGCAGACATTTATTTTCCCAGGTACCACAATATTCTGATACCTTCATCTAAATACTTCAATAGCATTTTTTCAGATTCAGATTTTCAGTGTCATATGGGTTTCCCTCTCTCACTCACTCTCTCTCTCCATATACACACACACACACACACACACACACACACACACACCCCGGATGCACAAAATATGATAAATTGTAACAACTTGGCTTTGAATTGTGGTGGAAAGGAGCTGTCAAGGACAAAGTGTCTGTATGACCGTCTCTGAGTTCTTGTAAGACGATATTCTGCGAGCTCAGATTTCAAAATCTAATAGTGAAGAAAAAGGCAAGTGAATGATTTCTGGAAAGAGACTTAAAAATTTTCTTTAAAGTGAGCAGTTTCCCTTATATAACAACATTGTCCACATAAAAAATTGTCATCCATTCATTTATACATTCAATAAATGTTTTGAGCACCCAGTATGCCAGGAACTGTTGTAGGCTCTGAGAATACAGGTGAAAACAAAACAAAAGATAAAGTCCCTGTTATGATGGAACTTACATGCTTGAAGAGGGGAGGCAGAATATAAGTAATAAATGAATAAATAAACAAGTGAATGGAAAAATGAATGAATGAGCATAGTAAGCAGTGGTGAGCACTCTAAAGGTGAAAATATGGTAATTTTAGGAAACTATTAATATGACCTGTTAATATACTTATTACAGATGTGTGTAGTATTTTATAGATTACATGTGCATTATTTTATTCTTACAACAATAGCATAAAATTTAATAGGGTTCTGTCACTTCAAAGATTAGAGAAAAGAAAAGACTAACAGGATAAGTCATTTGCCTAATATCACACAGCTACTGTGTCGTAGAATTGTGAGTTCCATCTATGAGGACTGATTCCAGCTTCAAGTGTTTCCCACCACATGGACCATGATCTCAGGTGCTTCCACTGTTTACCCATTTCACTGCGATTCTCAAAAATGACCTGGAGATGGTCAAGATATAATTAAAAGGTAAAAGCATGGCTTCAAGTTTCTGGACTAAACATTAACATACAAGAGGGTTTTAACCACAGCAAGAAAATTACAGCCAGCTAAATGAAGACTGTTTAGGGTAAAATAGGAAACAAACCTTAGAGGAGGGGAAATCATAGTCTTCCCTAGAGCAGAGAGAGGGGGAAGCATCCCCTCCCTCCTTCAACTCCAGATGAACACATCACAAATGTGGGAAGGTGGGTACTTTGGTGAGAGGTAAAACAAGTAACATCAAGAAATTAGAGGAATCCTGAGTGTCAGGCCTCCTTCTAGACTATTCCTGGGAAGGGCCTCCCATTCTGTTTTCATCATCTGAGTTGGACTAAAGATTGTACATTTTCCTTGTGGGGTGGTGTGTGTGTGTGTGTGTGTGTGTGTGTGTTGGATATTTCCTTCTGGGGGAAGGGAGTGTGAGGGATATTACTCCAAAGAGGTGAATGGGGGCTCATCGAGGTGCATCAAACTATCAGAAACTGTGAGTACAAAGAAAGGTCCTGGAAATGCTCTCCGCACTGTCTGGAGAAACTTGACTCTGTAGGACCTATGCTTTTGCAACTCTCTTG